ATGTTTTATAGCAGAAAATATATATATTTTTTTAGAATTGTTAGTCTTTGTTTCGTTTATAGAGCAAAAAGTAAAATCTGCAGAGGTGATCAAATACCGCCAAAAGAAAGCTCTATTTGTATGAAAAAAAGGACATAAATTTAATTTGGGTACAACATTGGTACAATTGTTAATTAAAATAACACAGTGACGTATTCCAAAATATGGCCTGGTCAGGAAGGGGGGGTAAATCTAGAATGTTAGAATGTACACATATATTTTATGGTACCATGGCATATTACAATCAAAATAAGCAATGAAAGACAGCTAGGAAGCCCTGTTGAAGGGTGAGTTTTGTTGCCCCCAAAATGTTTTACCTGTTTAAGCGGGATTGAATTATGTACAATTAAAGGCATACTGAACTCTTTCATCTTTTGGTTTGGGGCCTGTTATTTCTATGCTTTGAGTAACGCACTCTCAGTCCAGTATGACAACACTCACCCACTCTACTATATAAGAACAACAGGATAGGACTACAGGATTTCTCCCCTATCTATTACTCCATAACATAGAGGGTGTGGTTCTGTAGTCCTCAGAGAATAATATAACTGATAAAAGAGAGCAAAAGATTTCTGGCAAGACTATCATTTTTTTTTTTGACTTATCAAACCAATATACCAAAATATAACCATGGCACATTTACTGGCACCTCACGGAAAGGTCTCAATCCCTAATTACAGTCGGGAGCTTTCCAATCATGTGACTACCGTGACAGCCGATCATGGTGGTCACATGACCCTAAACCATGCCACTCCTCCCGGCATCACAAACCCCTAAAAAAGGTTAATGTTTGCATATACTTTCATTTAAGCCTGGAATACAGACCACATACTTATTAATAACAGTTCTAGTATAAATTTCCAAATTTTTTTGCCAATATTTTGATATAATAGATGCATTTTTAATTGGACCCTTCTTTAACAGAAGAGGACATTGCTGTCTAACAGTCTGATCCTTACATAGGGAGCTTGCATTTATTAACAAAAAATATTTTTTCATCAACAGTAACATTTTTGCAGTATTTTGATCAATATCAAGCATGGAATTGCCCTTAAGCTTCTTGTTTCTGAATGTATGAGGCAAATAATGTTACATGAAAACAAATTTGATGCATTCAGCATGGGCAGTAAAGGTTACAGAATAAGGTAATTGAGGGTCCTCAAGGATAATAGAATTAGTAGTTTAATCTTAAGGACAATGATAAACTTTGAATATGTTCAGGAATAACTATCATATTGCAGTGAAGTCAACTAGTCGAACACTGCTAGGATTTAATTATCTGCCACAATGATTTTACTGCTTTTAATCACGCAGAGCTGTAACGGCAGAACTATGGAAATGCATGTATGTTGTGTGTGTGTTGGGCTGTATTGTGCTATTAATCTGTTCTGCCAGACATATTGTTTAAATAGCCTTTTTAATAGGCCCACTGTCTCACTGGACTCCGAGAATTGTCTGCTTATGCTAGCCCTCTAATCACCGTTTGATTTAATTTAAAAAATCTAATCATTAACATTTAAATATTCTAATTATGTTTTGCTCACCAATGTTATGTGATACTAAAGGTATTATTCTGATTCTTTTGAAATGAAACCTCTTAATTTCTTGAAATTATCTAGCTTGTAAATGTTTTGACTTACATTAATATAGAAGTCTCTCAGTAAAAGCTCTTTTATTTCTTCAAAATGGGTGCTTCTGTCCTCTTATATTATTCATATGCATTGTCAGCTAAAAGGAAAAGCCAGTGGATTAGGATTTGGCTTACAGTATTTAAAAATCAAAAGTACACATATCCAAGGCTGATATTAGCACATGAAAAAAAAATTAAAATTACCCATGCAGTAAAGTAGTAAACTCAATTACTAAAATCTCATATAGGAGTTCAGATCTCAATGTATTTTGAATACTAATTTTCAATATTTCTAAATTGCCAGCTTTATCTAAAATCAAACTTAATGATTCTACCATAAACGTCCTTGTCCTGGAACTTCCTATTATAGGGTGACAACATTTCGTCACTGTTTCCCAATAGTGCTTCTGCTTATGACAGGCTCTTGAAAAGGGTGATGGAGATGAATGGTCCAGTGTTGTCACTATCAGGAAGCCCACGCTGAAAAAAGTAATACACAGATAGCAATAAAAACCAAAAGTTTGGTCTTTTTGCTCCCTTTAAGGAGTGCTAAAGTAGCCTTTTAGTCACTAAGATGTCATTTTAGCATGCCTTAAAGTGAAATTCCTTCCTAACATTAACTATGTCTAAAAATATCCCCTCTCCCCTCCCCTCCTGTTACCTATGCTGAATAACCCTTGCTAAAAATGTATATACTTATCATGTGGCATTGAGCGGCAGCTGCAGGGGAGAGACGAGGGCATCAAAAACAGCTGGGAAAGCCTGGAGTGGTGATGTCATCCATAGGCTCCCATGTCCCAGCCATTTTCCAAGCTTCCTCCTCTCTCCTGTATCTGCCACTGACTAACACAGGGAAGCTTTATCATATGACCGAACTGGAGCAGGCTGGAAATTGGGAAGTATATGCTTTTTTTTTAACACAGGTTAGTCAGCGTAGGTAGCAGGAAGGGGGAAAAGGACATTTTTAGGGGTGGTTAGTATCTGGCAGTAATTCTTCTTTAAGTGTTTAACACAGCTTTGTTGTGAAATGAAAAAGCACAACGTAATAAAAGGAAAGGTAAAAATAAAGAAAAGACAGAAAATCAAAATACATGAAAATAGAAGTGGAAATTAAAGGCTGAAAATAAAATAAAAAGGAAAATGGAAAATGAAAGATAATATGGTTTATCCTTGACACCTTAATATTCTAAATAAAGGCAAATGCCTGGTTTGACTTTAAAGTAAGTAAAGCAGTGACAGCGCTACTGGGCTATGAAGAGTTCATTACTCAGTGGTCCTCTCAATATCTAGAGGAAGAAATGAGTTCATAACAACCTTCATACATTATTCAATTTTAAAATTCTTCACTGCTGCAGTTTACACAATCGGTACCACAGGATTGAATTGGCTTCAGTACAATACAAAGCTAGAGAAACTAAATACAATATAATACGATTTAAGCTTAATCTCTATTAAGAATACATCTAATATGGACAACATAGCACTCCAGTTAATTAATGCTACTTGCTAACATAATGAACAATGTTGAGTGTCCAACGTTCCTCCCCAGGACAAGGAAGGGATGTCATCATTTCGAGAATAGCCTTTCACTTGAGAATAATATTTAGGTTTTTCTAGTGTTTGCTAGGAAGCCATAATATAATAATGGCTGCACTTAATAGTCATGGTCTATAAAGTGTATATGACTGCTTTGTTATTTTTTTTCTTCTTTTTTTAAGAAATGTCATCATCTCAAAAGAGATGCCAATCCATTCCTCTTCCAGTGGTTTATTTGCTTGAATTTTACAGTAGCCTGCTGTGATAACGCATTTCTTGGGCTTTACTCTTGTGGCTGTAGGCCATGAATTGTGTATTCTCTCCTTTTGATAAAGTGCTTCTGACCTGAACAAATACATGAGGGAGATGTGTCAGCAAATATAGCACTATTTGTTATCCTTGGGTATAACATTGTTTTATGAATGTTATCTGATCAGTATTGATGCACAGTTTATTCTAATACAGCACAGTGAGTTGTTGGCTGTTTGAAATTCATTTTAGAGAACTGTAAATCATTTTAGTTTGTTCTTGAATGTGGACCGTTTTACATTGTGACACATTATTGTAGGGTTGTTTTCAGATCATGTGCCTTTGGATTACAATTAGCATGCTTATCACTTGAAACACTCGTCTACAAACCACATCTGAGGTATGCCTGCCACAAATGTATATTGTCTTCTCTGGAAGACTTTGCAGAGTTCCATCCCACCCTAGAGAATGTTTTCAGTACAAATTGAATTCCACCTGAGTACATGGAAGCTGAATGCTACTTTGTATCCAATTCCTTAGAGAACATAACCTAAGTTATGTATGTTTTCCCACTTTCACAAAGTGCCTAATACATCGATGATATAAACAAGTGTATATGTTGGTTGGTTAACATTCCTTAAAGTGAACTACACTATATCTGAGCAACACAAACAAAAAATGCTTTATAATTAATTTTTAATATTCAAAGCAAACTCACCCATCCATCCATGTCTCAATGCTTTATTTTGTTGTGAAATCACTTTGAAAAACACCCCCTAGCATTTCTAGCGGCGTCCATCTTGAGTACGGGCAGAGGATTCATGTAGCATTTACTTCCTGGTATCCATCTGACCTTATCTCAGGCATACAGGCAGGAGGGCACACTTAGCTGGGAAAGCCCCTCTTCCCCTCCTCCAGATGAAAGAAAAAAAATGCCCATGAAGACTTCTGGGATGTATGACATCATTTTGGCCAGGAAGCAACTAAAGAAATGTAAAAAAAAGTTTAAAACAAGTAAATATAATACACCTTCCTAGTTACTACTGCTAAAAGCATAAGAATTAAAAATAGTTCATGTTGATTGAGAATTTGGTTCCTCTTTAACCACTAGCCTACAGGGCACTTATACCCCCTTCCTTCCCAGGCCAATTTCCAGCTTTCAGCACTGTTGCACTTTGAACGACAATTGCGTGGTCATGCAACACTGTACCCATATGAAATTTGTATCATTTTTTTGTGACAGATAGAGCTTTATTTTGGTGGTATTTAATCACCTCTGGGTTATTTATTCTTTCTTAAACAAATCAAAAACCACTGAAAATTTTGAAAAAAAAATTTTTTTTTTTTTTTTAGTTTTTGTAATACAGTTTTGTAAATAAGTGATTTTTCTCCTTCACTGATGTGTGCTAATGAGGCTGCAGTGATGGGCACTGATAGGCTGCACTGATGGACACTGATAGGTGGCACTGATGGGCACTGATGAGGAGGCACTCATAGGTGGCACTGATGGGCATTGACAGGCATCACTGATGGCCACTGAAAGGCAGCACTCATATATGGCACTGATAGGCGGCACTGATAGGTGGCACTGATAGTCGGCACTAACTGGCACTGTTAGGAGGAACTGACTGGCACTGTTAGGAGGCACTGATAGGCAGCACTGACAGGCACTGATAGGCGGCACTGATGCACACTGATAGGCAGCACTGACTGGCACTGATAGGCAGCACTGACTGGCACTGGTAGGTGGCACTGATTGGCAGCACTGATAGGTGGCACTGACTGGCACTGATGGGTGACACTGAAAGGCAGCTCAGATGGGCACTGTTATGTGACATTGATGTGCACTAGTAGGCACTGAAATGTGGCACTGATGGACACTGGCAGGTGGCATGGATGAGCACTGACAGCTGGCACTGATGGATACTGACAGGTGGCACTTCTGGGGATATACAGATCATCAGGGCACACTGATCATCAGTGCCCTGATGATCAGTGTACATGTCCCCTCTGAGGAATGCCGATTACCGGCTCTCCTCTCCTCTGTCAGCGTGACAGCTCGTGAAGAGAGACATGCCGGAAACTGGCATTTCCCTATTTACATGCAATCAGCTGTGATTGGACACAGCTGATCACATGACCAAGCCGACATATTCGGCTCTTTCCGTTGATCGGTGATCCGCTGTGTCCGAAGGGACACAGCGCCCCGCCGATCGCCGCGCTGCGCGCTCCCAGAGCCACGCATGCGCGGTTAGAATGGGAGGACATCATATGACGTTCTCCCATAATGAGAGAACCACCTTGCGTCCATCATAATACTATATGGCGGGCGGGAGGCAGTTAAAGGGAAAGTGTAGTGCAATTTCAGTGAGCGCATATAAGCTTTCAAATGCAGTGTGTTTACCGTAAAGTTTTTTTATGTGTTCCATATTTAACATGCTTGCCCTTCTATTTTCATGTTAAGGCAAAGCCTTTTTTAGTTATGCATAGAACATGAAAGTTTTAGAACCTCTGTCAGGTTTATTACTGTTTGCAACCGAACCGGATATTGTATGTACTCTCCAGCGCTTCAGGAAATGGACAACCAAAGGAAACCCAGGGGGACCAGGACAGAGGCAACCACAAGAAGATGCTTCAGGGGTGCAGCCCTCCTCATAGGGGAGATCAGCCACTATATAAAGAGAAAACAGGTGGCGCACACATCTAGTGCATTATCCAAGGTTTATTCAAAGGTTTAAAAGACAAAAACATACTCACAGACGAAGCATGTATAAAAAGCTGTTGCATAAAGAAGATGGCCACAACGGCAGGCAAGGTGTTCCAACTGTCAATGCGGTCAAATGGTTGACACGTTTCGGGGATGAGTCCCTTTCCTCAGAGCTGCTGACTAGCCTCTTGGACTGGTACAGATGTATAGTGGATGGGGTGGACCGATGGTTGGAACAATATGCTGCTGATACCTCAGTCTGTGAGTATGTTTTTTGTCTTTTAAACCTTTGAATAAACCTTGGATAATGCACTAGGTGTGTGCGCCACCTGTTTACTCTTTATTGCTGTTTGCACCTGTTTTTCCTGGTGACCTTTGTCTTTAGCACATACGTTTTTTAGTTGAGTTGGCACAGAAGTAGGATATAACTGAGTGTTAGGCTCATATTGTTATTACTTTAGTGTTTTTTCTGTTGTATTTCTCACTTCTGTTGCTAGATCTCCTCATCTGTCCTTATGGAGTTTGTGTAAAATAATTTTTAGGGGATGTTATTTCCCTTTAGTTCTAAACTTAGGACTTATGTGTTCTCTGCTGTGGACTCTGGGTGCCATCTTGGGGAGGTCTGTGTCTCAATTGGGCATTGAACTGTTGCAAGATTAGTGTGGCCATTTTTGACATGGGAGTGATACATAAATCACAACCTGCATCACAGGCAGTGGGTTGTGAGCAGGAGAGGACTTGTGAGAGGGAAGCTTTTTGCCAGCTGGGAGAAGACCACATCAACGGTGTGAGTTCTTCTGGGACTTGTGCTTCCCCATTGTGGAGCCCCTGAGTAGGGATACTGAGACGTTTTCTGTTTTTGTCTGGGCTTTCCCAATGATGGCATGCACATTGGACCCAGACATCTGAAATTTTCTTGGACCAGAAGGCTGACAGATGCCCTCCCCCCCCCCCCCCCCCCACACACACACACACACACACACACACACATACATTTTGACAAGTGGGGAGGACATCTGTAAGCCTTCCGGTCCTAACAATCTCAAATGTCTGGGTCCAGAGTGAAATTTCCTGGGATTACAAACTGAAATTTTGCACTTGGCTCCTCCCCACTTCATGCTTTTAAAGCTGCCTCTTTTCCCACAAAGGTGGGTGATTCTTCTTGCTGCTTTCCAGCAGCTTATGTATCAAGGGTTTTTTTTTTTTACCTCTTTACCAAAAAAAAACCTTTGGTTTCCAAACCAAATACAGGAATCTGGTCCATTCTTGGTCTAAAGACTCTCAGCTTGCTTCTACATGTTCAACAATTCTGCATGGAACCTGCCACCTAAGCCATTTTCTTCTTCCTTCCAGATGATTTCTTTGGCTACAGCAGACATTCAGGATGCTTACTTGCACATTTCCATCTTTCGTCCTCAATAGTGTGATTTTGCAGTATGGAAACAAATTGTTAAGATTATTCACATCTTTTTTACACAAGAGAAATATGAAGGCTGTCATTGCTGAATCTGCTTGTGAAAATGCTAATTGCCTGGTCATCATGTTGATGCAATGACTTAAGTACTGCCTTAGTCATTGACCTGAAACAAGTACGAGAAGTTATGATTTTGTTCTGACCTCACTGCCTGAATAAATGTTCCAGGCCAGTAACTTGGGAAGTACTGAAGTCAGAAGCTCAAACATCATTGCCAGGAAATTAGCATTTTAAGAATGAGATCAGAAAGAGGTCAGAAATGGCAGCATTATATTTATCTCAGCACATTTTTTTTTATGTTTCATTCTTTACACTTTCAGAAGACATAAATATTCAAAATCTTTTGTGTGAAAAGATGTCTTAAACCCCCCAAAATTGATGATTTTAATGAAAGTAGGTCCATATTTTTTGTATAAAAACTTTCATGTATTCTGAGTACTGCTGGCTCACTATTCAAGAAGAAACATACTTGAAGCTGCCAACGAGTCACCATAATTCATAATCCTTAATTATGAGAAATGTACATAAGCTCAGTCACAATGAGCAACTCCGTGACTGGAATTTCTAGATAGGTCATTTGCCATCCCATTTGTTAATGCACATGTTTATGTTTGATAAAATGTTGTTAAGCTACAAATGGTTCCAAAAGAGCAAGTCAGGTTTCTTTTAGATATTCAGCTTTTGTACTGGTGCATTAAAAATATGCCAGAGATGCAGACTGTTTAAATCAGCAATGGGACGGGACAGATATCAGAGTGATGGCTTTATCTGCTCATGGCTGTGTCAAGGGCTCAACTACATAGGACATTTTAACTAGCCTATTATAATGTACATAAACCCTAAAATGTACTTTTTCCTATTTGTTTCTTTTTGAGTTGTTAAATATTCCATCAAAAGCATTTTGTTATATCTATTTGATAAATACACCCCTGATTATTATGTCAGACATTCAGAGCTGCCATGTGTCCTTTGCACAATTCCTGTGTTATCTCAAAGAGTTTAATTAGCCATTCTTGTTCCTCTTTTGGACTGCAGAAGAATTAGTTTTTATGTTGTAGAGAATAGAAGAGTAAGAGGGTTTGAGTAATCTAGCAAAAGACAGCTGGGTAGGACTGACACAACTCCACAGAAATGCACTATACTATCAATCCACAATATGACTTAAGCTGGCCATAGGTGGATCAAAATTCAGTTGGTTCAGCAAGGATCAGCATCTGCATTTATAGGCATTCCTGCTTGAGGAAGTTTATCTAATGATCAGGAATTGTAAAATCTTCATTCGATCAGCACCTGCAGTCAATTGGATGCAGTGCTGATCAGTGTATTCTGACAGCAGAGGATTCCCCACTGTAACAATACAGCAGCACAGCATCCATCTTGTTTGTGTGGATGGGGAAATCTGTTTCATGTTTTTCATCAGCCTGCTGGCTGATGGTAACAAGCAACCCATGTATGGCCAGCTTTAGGAGCCAAGTGCATTTCTGTCATTTTCTGTACTTGCAGAGTCTTTAAAGGGATAACATATGGAGAAATATGTAGAGACGTATATGTAGTGGTACCCCAGTTGGAGCCAGCAGTTAGATAGGTCCCTGAGGTATTTTCCCGTACTTTCGCCCCACAGCCAGGCACATGAATACAGTCACTCTTTGGCTTAGTAAGAAGTCCAGGAGTGTTCTTTTTGGTGTTTTTATTTTTAGGAGTAACTTAGATAGGGATTGGGGATAATTGGAATGCTTCAAAAAGAAATATGTGTGAGGACACTAACTTTCTTCTGCAGCACTTTAATCACACTCCTTGTCGGGGTCAGTAATGGACTTAGCTTAGTTGAAGCAGACAAAGCCAGGGGCGGACTGACCATTTGGAAACTCGGGCACTACCCGAGGGCCCGGAGTCAGTAGTGGGCCCCATGAGATGCCCCTGGTACCTTTCATAGGCTTTCTTGAGTTTGGGCAAGGACACAGGGGCCCCATGATCCCCTATTGCTCGGGGGCCCCATGAGTTGTCAGTCCGCCCCTGGACAAAGGCACAAACTTCTTTCTTTAAGCAACACAATATTTTTAACACAGAACAAGTATTCCCTTTTCCTGCACTCTCAGCTGATTCTCAAGCACCAGAGGGGGAGCAGCAGCCCACAGTCTCTAGGACCTCTCGCACAGTCTGTACTCACAAATGTCTTTAAATGACTGGGTGCCTCCTTCCAATGTCTTCCAAACACCACTGCCAGTAATACCAGACCAGATCCAACAAGAGACAGTCCTTCAGTTAACTTCAGGCCTCTCAACAATCCAAGCTGGAGCCTTACAAACAGTAAGCACATGGCAGGATTGTCCAGAGGGCAGCAAGCCCTCTAGGCTGGACTCCTTACCTCCAGGACATGACAAGGAGACTCTAGATCACATACTATTTATACCCATTTCCCAGCCACCTGCTTGGGCCCAGAAAGATTGGCTGGGATTATATAAATATTCATGCTCCTCTTTTACATTACTCCACACCTTTCTTCCAGAACCATCTATGTGGCTCTGGAGTTAAAGAGTAAAAGCAATTAAATCTGCAGCCTGTGAGACACAGAGTTGATCCTACACAATCACATGCAGCTGCAATGACTACAGTGAGCTGGAACTAAATTTCCCGACCCCAGAATTGCAGTCACATTGAGTACAGGGAGGCAAGCTGAATGTATCTAACCACAAAAATACAGTTCTACTTTATACAGTGAGCTAAAACTGGATCTCGCTACTCCTAGCACTTGTCTAGGAGAGTGCTACATACATT